GAGGGCGCGGCTATTCGAATAGATTTACTCTGATCAGAGGTGTACATCTTTACCCACAAGACACATCTTTACTCTGCATTCCACGGCCGTGGAACCCATCGTAAAGGATGTGACATAACCCCTTTACCCATCCTAGCCGTGACAAAAGAACCGACCCAACCTCGCCTACGGCAGGAATCCCGAGACAGGTAGGTAAGATTGAGCCCCTAACAGCAGGACACCGGCCCTATGCCATGGCATCTCGACTATCGAGCCGCAGCCCGTGTAACCTTCATTTGCCCTAGAGATGTCCATCGAGCCCCGACTTCGTCCATCTCCATCCGTGTACTCTTGCCAGGACTAGACTGAGCACCGAGTTAAGCCTTACCTATTAGACATGTGGTTAGTACGGTAGTGCGTTGCAACAGAAGCCCGAAGACCGGTCCTTATAGTGGCCGAGGTGCTACTAGCAGAACCATGCACCTCGAGCCCAGCCTAAAACCATTTTGGGAGTTTTGAATAGAGGGGGGAGGTGTGTGTTCAATTCCATCACAAGCCAACCATTCCACAGTGTCCAAATGATATGAGAACTCCCAAAGTCTAAAGTTATAAAACCACCTAGTGTTGCCTAATTAATCAGCGAAGCATCTACCTAAATTCATACTAGTGGAACCGTTAATAGAGTACCCACTAGTTGGTGTTTTGTTTATCCTAGGGTGAACAAGGTAATAATAACAATAGCAATAATAATAAGGTCATAACAAAGGTAAATAGGCATGGCTAAATAAAACAGTGATAACCCGGGAATTTAAGTAAAGCGGTAATGCAATAATTTAAATCAAAATAATTTTATAAATTGGGATTCAATATGCTCAAGGGTGATGCGACTTGCCTTGCTCAGAGAGAACGGCCTTCCGAACCTTCGGCGACGACCGCGAAGCACGCTTCGGAAACCGCCGGAACAACAGAAGCTACGCGAAGCACACAAGCAAAGCTACAAGCCTAAAAAGAAGCAATAACAATACATAACAAGAAAGCACAAGGTTCTTTAGGTTATAACAAACATTAGGAGACTTGAACGGGTCGATTCGGGGTTCGTATGATTAAGATATGATCATCCGAAGTTTAATGCTGTTATATGGAGATTTACGGATTATTGTAATTAGGTTTTACAACTATAAAACATGTGTAAGCGCTAGCCTGGAAAAGACAGGAGGGCTGCGCTTGTTGACATGCGGACCCCACATGTCAACCTAAGGGACCACGGTAGACCGAGTACACAGAGACGGTCCACGGGTCGACGGAAGCGGATCCGGTGTGTCAACCGAGGCAAGTGGCCGACAAACAGACTCCACTAGACACCACGCGGGCTGCACACGTGGAAACCACGCGGCTACCGAGCGGGCACACTAATAGGTCACCACACGCACACATGAACGGGCGTGGCGGAGACGGCTCGGGGACAACGGAGGCGAACGACTTCGGCGGCGATCCTTGGACGAAGGCGAGACACGGCCAGCACGAGGCTTGACGACGCGGAGCCGAGGACGAAGACAACGACGGGGCTGCAGCGGCTCACTTGACAAAGCGAGGACGACGAACGAGAACGGCTTGACGGAGGGACGAACGCCACGACGATGACCGGGCCGGCGAGAGGACGACAACGACGATGAACAGCGGAGGGGTTCGGGTGGAGGGGAGGCGAGGCTGAGGGCGACCTTGTCGCTGCGATGCCGGAGGTGGAGATGGCGACGTCGGCCGGCGCACTGGCACGGCGGAAGAGGCTGCCGGAGTGGGTGCCGATGAGACCGAGGGAGAGGCGGCGCGGGCGACAGCGTTCCGGCGAAATTCGGGTGACGCCGTGGCCTGGCCGGGGAAGAGGATGGCCCCGTGGTGCCGAGGAAGGAGGCGACGACGACAGCCAAAGCACCAGCGAGGCGGCACAGGCGGCTGGGGCGGTACAGTGGCGGCAACGCCACTAGACGAAGGCGGGAACGCGCCTGCGATGGTCACCGCGCGAAACGGAGGGCAGGCCGGGGGAGAGGATGTGGCTGCGACGCCGAGGATGGCGACAGCACGGCCTACCGACGCACGGGCGAGGAGGGAGAGGCGGCTGGAGACGGCTGGAGGCGGCCGGCGGCATGGGAGAGAGCGGACAACGGCGGGGAGGGGTGGTGCGGCCACGGGGAGACGCGGGAGGAGGCTAAAACGAGAGAACGGAAGGAGGGGGTTCCATTTTATAGGCGCGGGGAGGGAGCCGGCCACGGAAGAGGGCGGAACGGAGGCGGGAATGGCGGCCGGCGGCCATGGAAGGTGGCCAGGGATGGCGCGGCTGTTCCGGGCGATTAATGGTGCTATTCAAGGGGGAAATTAGGGGGAAAGAGAGAGGAATCAATGGGGTTTAATTCCCCCTAATCAATTTTGGAATTAGCCATTTGAATTGAGCGGATTGGAGGGAGGAACGGCGCTAGGGTTCACAGGAGAGAGAGGAAGGAGGCCGGCGGCTGGAGGTCGGGGACGCCTGACGGGCGGGACCCACGCGGGAGGCGCGCGGTCAACGCGCGTGCGGCGCGCGTGCGCGGGAGGGCTGCAGCTCGGCTTGGGCCGGGGCAGACCCAGGCGAGAGGAGGAGAGGAGGGAGCTAGGCCGAGGGGAGGGGAGAGGGGCGGCCTGAGAGAAGGAAGGGAGGGGGACGGAGTTGGGCCGAGGGGAGAGGAGGCCCGAGAGAGAAGGGTAAAGGGAGGAAGGAGAGAAGTGCAGGAGCCGTTGCAACGGCATTGGCAGAGGTCGGTTTGGTGGGCCAGAAGTGCAGGAGGCGCTCCATGGTGGGTTTTCTGGGGATAGTCACCAGCACGGTGAGTCTCTGGTGAGGTGGCGGTGCTGCGGCATCGAAGGAAGGGGAGGTGGAGTAGGTCAGAGTGTGAACATGGCCGCGATCCCGGTGAGTGGAGGCCGCTGCGGTAGAGCAGTTATAGCAAGAGGATGGTTGTCCGAGAGGACCTCCGGCGGCGGCGAGTAGGCCGGGTTGCCGGATTGGGGTGGAGGTGGAGAAGAAGGGGATATTAGGGAGGCGGCTGCTGGCGGTAGGCTAAGAAACGGAGACACCTCTAGGTCCGGCGCCAGTGATGACGGCGACAGCGAGTCTGGGGAGTCCATGAATCCTGGATGGGGAGAGAAGAAGAGGGGTAAGAATGACACGTGGGCCCCTCCATTTTTAATTAATCCTTTTGGTGCAATTGACACGTGGGGCTACCGTTTTTATGATTTTCCAAATCAAATTGCCACGTAGGCACCATGTCAGATGAAGACTGAGTCAAATTAGCCACGTAGGCGCCATGTCAGCTTAAACCGCCGTCCAAACTGCCTTGGGACTTATTTTTGCACTGGTTTTAACAGTTGAGGGACCCATCATATCTGGATTTTCGGTTGAAGGACAAAAATTGGATTCATTGACAAGTTAAGGGACCTCAGATGAACTTATTCCATGAGTAATCTAGCCGCCTGCCTTCCCTGCGCGGTCGTGTTATCTTTTTTTCAAAAAATAGTACATAACGGTCCAACGTTCCAACGGAATAGCTGACATCATGATGATTTCAACATGATATTTATGTACCAGATCTGGTTCATACAGGACGTTACATCAATCTGGTACCTCAGCATGATACCGTGGGTACGGATCAATTGCATGGTACCATAGGTACCGAATCTGGTACTTACAGGTATCATGTCTAGTACCAGAGATATGTACGGTACCATGCTAACATCAGCATGATACCTATGGGATATCATGTTTGTGTTAACAAAAAAATTGGCAATTTCCATTAGTCAAGATCCAATCAGATGGAATTCACGTCATACTTGTAGAAGATTCAGTTAGCAAGTTTATCCGGGTTTAAATCAAGCTTCCATAATAAGGAAGGTGTATCTTAGTTTATGTTTCTGTAGATAGTGGCTTGAGCCAATGGAATCATGTTAGAATTTTTCTCAGATAGTTTTCTATTTATGAGTTGATTGGAGTCGTATATAAGTCAGAAGTGTAATGATACTCCTTACAAATAGGAAACTACTCATTACACTTTCAGTCGTATTTGAGTCGGAAGTGTAATGAGTCAGAAATCCTTGTATTGATTTAGTTTAGCCTATGGGTATAAGTATGTACTCGCAAGGTTATATTTATATCCATCGGTTATAGCCGATCGAACTGAAATTCCATCGACATCGGATGGGCATACTATACTACATCGGCCTTGTGACTGATTCGCACTACGATTTAAATTTTTCATTCGTATATTATTAGTTACAGGATCAAACTAACTAGCACGCCCTGAACCCGATTTGATAGGACATGCATTAGTGTAAAGCAAATCTTTCATGCCTTCATGTGTGCGACGAATTTTGCATCAACACACTTTTGGCACACACAGTGGGACGAATTTACTCTGTCAACCTGTCTAAAGAAGTTAATAACGATGATATTATTTGAGTGACAGTAGACAGGTTGACAGATAAACAGAAAACAAAGTAGATCAAGCGACGCAAGATTTTCAAAACCTGTGCTTGGAATATTTTAGCATGACTCGGAAAGGACCCATATAGAAAACTCGATTCCTTGAGCCGATGATTGAGGGAGAGGGAAGTGTAACTCCTCCAAAGATTCCGACTCATCTTTTTCAAACCTTTCAAGACTAGTAATATGCACGTGCTAACGCTACGATGATATTTGGAATGTAAACCAAACATAAATGTAATATAACCGAGCTTGAAATAGATATATTTAAGATTGATGAAAAATGAACAGTATAGAATTATTATATTGTGAATTACATAGCCACACGTGTCTAAAATAACATCCCCATTTTTTATCTTTTGAAACCATATATATAGTTGGTCAATTTGAGAGATTCTTGATGCGCTTCTTAAATTCCTGTATGACTATAGGAGTAATGTCTTCAAATAAATTCTCATTGTACTTCAATAAGTTAATAAATCTGCAAATAGTTCACGTAAATGGAACATAATGCTTGATCTCAAATGACAAAGAAACATATATAGCATGGGCATCTTATCCCTGATCAACATCACAAAGAAGGCATTCATCATTTTACAATGTTAAATGAAAACATACAACATCAAAATCTATTGCAGCCGGATTATGAGCCACCCCTGCAACATGAAAATTCACATTTATATTTGCATGGATCTATGACTCATACAGATTTGAAAGGCATGTATAATCTAACCTGTGAAGTAATTCCAGTAGTAAAATAGAATGTTTTGTAAATAAATTGTAGTAAAAAAAACTGTACCAACTGGAAACCTTTCAAAAGAGGAAGGAGTCAAGCCATATCGAGCAACGAGGTTTGAAAATGAAATCATTTTGTGTAATAGTATATATACTACTGAAATAGTGAGAGCAACTCCATCACTCTTTTATGGTCAATTTCTCAACCTCCTAGGGGGTGGGGTGGGGGGTCGCTCCAATGATTGAAGAACAATGTTCAACATTGTTATACTTACCCTACCTATTATGTGTGATAATCCACAATGATTTTTGACACAATGCGATATACGTCTAAAGAAGTGGTCCTTCTAAGATCATATGCCGCCAAACCACTATTGAATCATCACTGAGAATAGATAATAGATAATTTGTGGCACAACTCAGGCTATTAGAAGGGAGCTATTTACCTCAGATGCTTTTGGACATCTACCATTTGCAGCTGCAAAGCAACCAAGGTGACATGACAATTCCTGCAAAAAAAAATGACAGAATAAGCAACTGAATATCAGAGACAGGACGCAGGAAACAAGAAATTTCAACAGCTGTTATGTCATCCTTGTTGAATTGTTGAGATGAACCTCAACAATCTGACCCCTGCGATAGATTCAAAAGCATATGGAGTGAAATTCTTTCTTTGTATTTTATTCCATGATATTGAATAAGTTGGCAGATTAACCATGATACTAAGCCTGAGATGCAATTCAAAGGTCAAACACGGGATAAAAAAAAAGGAAACTTGAAATCTGAGGCTCATCGCCCCCATGCATACCATCCTGAATTTGAAATGTTACAGATGACATTTGACCATAAGGATATAGCTTCATCAAAGGCAAGTCATGCAATTTAATATATACCACGTATTACTTCAAAAGCACCCTCGAATGACAAATCGGACTTAATTAAATTGTTCACTTAATTCTATACAGGGTAACAAGTTCTTTCAGAGATGCTTGGAGCAACCAAAATTTTATTTAGTCACTCCATTCTTCTGGGATATGTCTATGCACAGTTGATTTATGTGAAGTGTCTGCAAATCAAAAGGCAAGAATACCCAAAAGTTAGTCACTCCATTATGTTGACATATGCAAGAGGAAAAGAAGTAGAAGAACAAAATTTGCAGGAATAAGAAGCATGTGAATCATGTTTGAGAAAATTTGCTGGAATTATATAGATCTGTACAGTTCAGTTGACAAAAAAAATACAAGAAAATTATAGAGCATCCAAAATCATGTTCACTGAAGACGCAAAATCTCCACCTTGACTGTTCACTGAAGCTTTATATATCCATAACCAAACCTATTGCCTAATGCATATGTACATGCAATTAACAGATCATGAGGATTTTCAGAGACCTGTTTGCAACTTACATATGTGAAGCAGCGGTTGAGTAGATGACGTCAATACCTCATCGGTGGGGTTGACGGCATCGACTTGAGCGTGGAGCCGCGGATGGAGGCGTTGGCGGAGGCATAATTGATGACGGGGGCGGCAGCGATGGAACGTGACGGTTGCGCGCCGCGTGGTGACTCGGAGATGATCGTGGGCAGTGGTGTGGCCGTGAACGACGAGCGGAGGTCGACGGCGAGGAAGCAGGATCAGGCGGTGATGTGGTCTTCGAGATGGGCGGCGATTAGTGGCGGCTCGAGATGGGGATCGGCGCCGACCAAACGCGGTGGTGGTCCCGGTGATGTGAGAGGGGGAATCAGTGACGACGAGCTGGGGACAGGGGTTCGGCGACCTGGATTTGGGGCAGAGGAATCGGCTACCCCTTCATGTGGAGGCGAAGGAATCGGCGATGAATGGCGGCATAAGCGCGGTGACGTTTGCGAGAGGAAAAAGATGGGGGCGCGCGATTTTTTTTGAGAGGAGGGCGCGCGATTTTGGGGGAGGAAACAGCGATCCAACGCGCGATATCGGGAGAGGGTTCGGCGTGGGATGATCTAGGTCGTTCGTTTGTATATAGATGATTTGGAACATTGGATTTGATGAATGAGTAATGTAGGTGTAAGAGTGAGTTGGTGAATTATAGGGTAGATACAGTACATGATGCTGTAAATCGAGCTTTAATCAATTAATCTGGAGTTTAGTGAATATATTACAAAATTTGATCATAAGGGTTGTTAATGGATCTACTGTTCGAGAGAAACCTATGACGTCTGTAAATACCCTCCTTATTATAAGGCTATGAAAACAGAGTTTCAGGAACCTACTTATGATATAGCTAAGGATGAAGGCCCATGGACACCTAGCAAGATCCATATTCCAAAGGTGTCTATTGGGTATCATAAAGTTGCCTAGTATGGGGGGGCAACACCAACAGCAACAACCTCAGCAACAACAATATCATGAGCAATCTAATCAAAACAATCGTTATCAGCGGGGATCGTCTCATCAATATTGGCAAGAATGACCACCAGAACCACATCAGTATCGGCTAGAGGGTCAATGTGAATATCAACATGGTGAAAGACAATATCAACCGTAGAAGAATCAACATGAGCAGCAGCCAACACAACATCAATATGTGGGTATAGAAATGAGGAGTGGGCAGACAAAATAGCTGAAATTATACGGGAACAGTTTGGACTTAAGCCTAAGAAAAACATACATACATGTATCGGTAACCATATTTTGATTGGTTTGACAGGGTTCCATTACCAAACCGATACAGGCACCCAATTTCTCAAAGTTTTCAAGACAAGAGAATATTTTAATAGTTGAGCATGTTAGTCGATTCCTGACACAATGTGGTGAGACATCATCTTAAGAGGCTATGAGAGTTAGGTTCTTTCCATATCACTTTCTAGATCGATGTTCATTTGGTTTTCTTCTTTACTAGCTAATCCTATATACCTATACAAATCATCCCCACTACTAGGAATTCTCTGCTTCCTGGTGCCTCCACGTCATCCTTTTTCTCCAAACCGTTGGATCTAAATCGAGCGATCCGTCCGCCCAGATCGCGCTTCCACGGTTCCACCTACACCGCATCACGTGCCGTCCACCTGGATCTTATCCTCTCCTCCCGCATCACGCTCCGCCTCCCCCACCGGCCGCGGCCACTGCAACGCTCGCTCTTCCGCCGCATCGAATCCCAACGAGCACGTCCTCCGCCTCCTGCGCCGCGCGACCTTCCAGTGCTGCAGCCCGCAGGTGGTCCCTCTCCCATGCCGCGTGACCTAAGCTCGCACCGCATCGCCTCCCTCTCTCCCACCAACAGCATCAGCGCATCGCATAAAGGGGATCGTCGGCAGTAGGGCAAGCGACGGAACGAGCCATACCACCCGCGCGGCCGCGCCAGTTCAAGGGAAACATGCGCAGGCCTAGCCGGCTCCCAGTTGTCTATCCATCTTCCTCTCCTAATAAATGTCACCTGCGTTATTTGGTTGTTGTCTCGCCTCCCTCTTCCTGTCTTCTTTGTATATATTACACACATTATGTTGTTTGTTGTATTGCTGCACCATACGATCACACAGGTTCATGGATCCATCTTCTAGGCGATGAGATTAATTGTTCCCCTTCATGCTGATCCCTATTGTTCCCGGTTCATCCCTAATACAGCATTCCAGGTAAATATCTCTTTCTAATCGATATTGATTGATGCAGATTGTTTCTCGGCAATTCAGCTATTAGTTCCCGACATATATTTTAGTATCCCAACCTGACCTCTTTTCTTCCGTACAACAGTATTTGTGGTTGCATATTACTCACTCCCTGCTTCACTTTCTTCTCAGATTTGACTGTAGGTTTATTTCTGGATTCAAGTACCCTACAACGTTGAATAATAAGTATATTGGCACAATTTTTTTTTGGTACATACTACTAGATTTGATTCCAAAATATACATTTTCTGCTATGCTCAATTTTTCAATCATTTAAGTTACCTTGCAACTGTCCATGAATTTTATATTTTATACTGGTTATAGTATTATGTCCAGTGAAGCAACTACAGTATTTGATATGCAAGTTATGCGACTATAGATTATTCTTTGAGGTGACAAATTATAAAAAAAAAATGTCATCCTCCAGGCAGACGGTGATTTTGCACATGATGTGATTGGAGATAATTCCATCATATGCAGCATGGTGATCAATGATGTAAGTGAAAGGTATAGTCTCTGCAGGTCCCTCCCTCCTGGGATTTTCTTTACAAATGTTAATTGATTTCATAATTTAAATTATAATATTATTATCTCAAAAAATTTCTTGATTTTCCTTATCTTTCATTCTTATGTATTTGAGGAGGCAAGAACCAATAACCTTTTTTTACAGAGCGATTAGCCAATTGCTAACGTCAGTTCAGTCGATCAATCTGCAGAACTTCCCCCCGAATTTGTATGTATATTAGGTTACTCATCTATAAAACAGGGATTGGTGACTGGGCAATAAGCTTCATATCATCGATATTAGCTGTATAAGGTATTTTTCAGCTTTGCTCTTCTCATTTGGAAACAAGCGTTTGGTCTATATAAACTGTGTTCAGTTAGACAATAGATAGCCTACAGTAGCTCCAGCCAAAGTATGTATATGTGACCATTCAATTGTTGTCGCTACATGAGAAAGACTTCTCTTTATCTCATTTCTTTAAACTTATTGGTTCATCATCCTTAATAAGCTCCTATTATACAAGGACCCTAACTCATTTCTTTGAAAATGGTGTACATCTGTGCAGCTTTTATGTTAAATCCTTCCATTTAGAATCTGTGCACGGACCCTTTAAACCTATGTCAATACTTAATATCCCGCAGCAACGCGCGGGGTATCATCTAGTTATATCAGGAGTTGGGCCAATCTAGTAAAATAGTTTCATAATTACTTCTTTTCTGGAATCCAAAAGATGAAGCTTTCAGATTTTACATCGTTTAGACAATGGTCAGATGAATCAGTCCCTGATTAAATCCAAAGGTTTAGAGATGTTTGAAGCCAATGTTATAGTTTCAATTTGAGCATTGCACATTTAGAATTTTTGGCTTTTCAAGGATTGCTTGGGGCTAACTAAGGACATTTTCTTCACAAGATTATGTATGTTTTTCTCACTTGATGTAAAAGGTGTTGGTTCATGAACCGTGATTCCAGAAAGCAAGGTAAGAACAATTTTCCAAGTTGGTTGCTAATGTCAACAATTATGCTTCTAGATGAACATCAACATATAAAATCAAATTAAGGCGAATATTTCCTGTAGAAAAAAGAAATAGAAGAGCATGGACATATTACAATGTATTTTCTTTTATCCGTAGAAAATCGTGGACATTCAACTAGTATTCCAAAATCTGCTACTCACCCCCCATCCGCCAAGCCTCGACTCCTCCACTGTTAGAAATGGAGGAGTTTTGACCTAAGCCCATATCTTGCCTCCTCGGCTGGCGATGGGACACCTACCGCCACTGCCATGCCTCATAACCCTGTTGGGCTGCCGACGATGCGAGCCCCCGTGCGACCGTGAATGGGATGAATCCAGCTGCTATGGCTCCCCCGATCCCACCTCTACTGTCCACGGCGCTACCCGTCACTGGCACGACGACCCCACCGCCTGTGATCATGACGAAGACCCGCCCCCTGACCATGCGTACCTTGGGATCCACGTTCGCTAGGCGCACCTCAAGCTCGTCATGCGCATGGCAACCGATCGGCATACTTAGTTGAGAGGGAGCAAGGAGGGAGACGGGATGTGGAGACGGTAGTGGAGAAAATGAGATGGAGAGAGTAGCAAAGGTTATCTCGCAGGTCGGAGGATAAGGGCGGTTGAATTGCAGGAGTGGGGATAAAAAGAATCCCACCCCACCGGCTCGGCTTGGCTCGGTTTTATGGGTGTTATATTATAGGTGTCAGTTTTTTAATTAACTGACACCTTTGAAATATCTATAGGTTCCTATCCTTTAAAAAATTAGTACTATTAGTGCCAGTTTTTCTCTAGAACCGGCATCTACAGTTACTCAAATCTGCTGGTTCTATATTTTTGCATTCCACAAAGGTGGGACACGATCATTAGATGCCAATTTTAAATGAACCAGCACCTATGAGTCAGTACTTATTAGAGGTTTTCTATAGTAGTGATTTGTCGGCCTTCGAGATTTTTTTCGGGAATTATTATTCAACTTCGTGGGCCTAAACTATATAGTTGCAACAATTGAAACCCTGTGTTACGTTCTTAAAAAGAAATTGTAACTCAGTAGCTGTTTACGTTGCATTTAACTGTTTGTTTGACTATCAGTATTTGTATTTGCTAAGAAATTCAAGGTGCCGCATGCGCTTATATCCCATGCTAATGTCACGCGCTAGGAAGAGGTTGTATGATCAGTTTATTGTGAGATTATTCTGGTGATGTAAATTAACTGCGGATGGTAGCTCAAGCAAGTTAGGCACAAAAGGGCAGAACATATAGCAAGAATCAATCCTTGGACAGACTCTTGTATGATTGTGTGGTCCATATCTCTGCCTCTTGTATACAAATCTCGGGGGTCACAAAAGGTGTCAATATTTCTATGGAGTTCTGCGAATTGATTCATGGATATCCGAATCCACGCACCAATAATGGAGACAAGCCCAAAAGGTTTACTTATTGCATTTTGCCATGCTTGTAAACCTCTTGTTTTGGTCGAGAGCTCTTGCTTTACTCACAGGAATCTAAGCAGGAGAGTTAGTTTGGAATCTTTATTTCTAAAATTCTAGGATAAGTACGTGCTGGTAATATTTCCACAGATGTAAAAAAAGCGCGAATTAATTGCCATGTGTTCAGGCAAAATGGTAGAGAATCAATTACCATGTTCAGGAAAAAGGATATATAGCTAATTAATCGCCACACAAGTTATATCTATTTTTATGTAGTTGTTGTCCAACGGGATGAGTCTGGTCTTTTCATCCAAGGCTACAATTCATAAGTTTATTCGGTTTTCTTATCATACCATGATACCAAGCACATTGCTCTAGGATATTTAATTATATTGATACATATAATAAAGATCCATTTGTAACCTATAAACAGAACTGATAAAGAGGAAAACGAAGCCAACATATAGACAGCATTCTAAATTCTGAGACGCCATTAAAAAAACATTTGGAAGGAATAAATTCTGCCCATAGAAAAAAGACCATTCCCAAGGTATGTACACCTCCTATATAGTTATAACCCACTACATCCTAAAACTCAATATACATCTTAAAATTATGCAAGCAATATCATCTATAATTTATTACACATGCAAGCATCTTCACAAATATTTCAACATATAACATTCAATCATCTTCACAAATACTTACACATATTAAACGCATCACATCTTCACAATTAAGAAAAGGCACCCGAAACGGTCCCCCTACACGGATATGAATTGATACTTAATCTGTGCTTTTAGGCTTGTACCCCTACACGAGGGCTCACTCCCATACCACATACAAGAGGGCTCAATATACGTAGGCCAATTCTTGATCCGTACTATTTTCAAAGCATGTGAGTTTTTTTTTACAAGAGGGCTCAATATACGTAGGCCAATTCTTGATCCGTACTATTTTCAAAGCATGTGAGTTTTTTTTTTGGCAAGACCAGGATTTGATCCTTCGTGGGTAGCTCCCCACTGGATGGTATGTCCCATCATGCTACAAGCACATTCGCACCATGATGTTAGAAAAGCAATGCTTAAGAATAGTAGATCCATCATGAGTTCATTTTGGCGATAGCCATATCGTCACTCTATACATTATGTGAAATGAAGACTGTAAAGAGGTGATAGTGTGGGCTGTCCGTATATCGGATTGACCAAGGTCTAACCGACGTGGGAGCATTTTGACCAGCTTTTAACTGTAGTGTGAAGTGGGTTTGTGCCTTTGGATGTTGGTGGGAGGAGTTTCATTCTTGGGAGGGAAGAGTGTTGTATAGAATAGATTTTCTAACTGAGACCGATAGTTGTGCTTAAATGGTGAGGATTCCTCTTTGTTAGGTCAGACATAGATGCCATATGCTACTGTAGAGCCGGGCATCCGTGATGAGCCATGTGCGATGGACTAATGAGAAAAATTAGAAGTCATCTCAAATTGGTCAAAATGTATCCTATTTAAGATATTGCTACTGGGGATGATCCATCACTAATATAAGGTCATCTGTGATGGATCATAGTTGTAACACGTCACATATGACCTATAACGGGTCATAAACATGCCCCGTCACATATAACAAATCATCTGTGACGGTTGTAATGAGAAGGCCCATAAAAAATGAAAGCACTCATCGGTGACGGGCCATAACTATTACCCTTCACAAATAACGTTATCTACGATGGGTGGTAGTACCTGTCACAGATGGGAGAAATTTTAAATTTTTGAATTTCACAAATAACTCGGATAGAGACATGCTCTATATGAAAGTTGTAGATCTCAACAAGGTCTAGAACTTAAAAATTAAAAACACTCCTTCTCCCAGGTGCGAGTCTATTATTGAGGGGCTTTCTATAACTTTCGCTTTAGCTTCGCGACCCCTTTCCGGAATTTGAAGTATTCGTCGCCCTACCCTAAGAAAGGACTACCATATACTACTGTCCCTGCTTTACCTGCTGTCCAAGCAAGTACTAATTTCGAATGCGAGGTTGCGTAGCAAAGCTACAAGCCGAAAGTCAAGAATGAACTGAGTTAACTAGCTAGTAACACTGTCCTACTTGTCTATTCGTTCCAACTATTCTATTTGTTTGCTTGCTGGAACAAGGGAATATAGGGCTGCTGAGCTGTCCAAGTAGAAGTAGAGGCAACAAACAAGTGGAAGCAACCGATGCTTTGGACTCCTTGATGCCAGTCTGTGCTTTGAGCCTAATGAGTTGACCAATTCCTCTACCCCGCTTCTTCCCCCTGGTCTTTCTTTCCCACCGGGCCCTTTCCACCGGTAAACCAACCACGGCATACTTGGCAATTGGCCCTTTCCATGGTGGTTTGGAATCTCAGCAATGCAGACATTCCGGAACTCCCAACTTTTGGTTCGGTCGAAATTTAACGACCCGAGTTCATCATCGTATTTAAAGAAAAGTGACGCCTTCTCTGAGGGGGTCATGCCCAAGCTCTTTCTGGCTCGAGGGCTCTGATTGGGAATGGTATGCGAAGTTACCCGCGGATCACGTTCTAGTACCTCCGGTCCGTGGTTCGACCTCCCGTAGTGGTCCTTGCTTTTCTTTTTGAATGCTCCGCGACTTTAACTTTAGATCATTTATATGCCCAAATATTCAAAATAAGTGGCGAGATCTATTTTAAGAAACTTAATTTTGAATTATTCAAATCATCTCGGATTGAGATATATACCCTATAAGAAAGTTGAGTGGTTCGATGGGATCTACAACTTTATAATTGATAACATTTTCATTTGAGATTGTTTATATCCCCAAATATGTGTTATAATTGGTATGATCTATTTCAAAAATATTTTTTAATGAACGATCTCGGATGGAGACATGCCCTATATGGAAGTTGTAGAACTCGATGATATATTCAACTTTGTAGTAGAAAAAATTCTCATTTAGAGTCATCTAGTATGTCAAATTAGCGCCTCACGTTTGAAAAGCAATAGTCAAAAGAATGACATCTGAAACCTATCAACACGTGGACTATAGGTGAGATGGAATAGATGGTTTGTGTGTATTGAGAGGTCTTGGCCTATAAACATCTATGTTGTGCCTGTACATTTTACTTGAAAATCATGAATTTGTGGCCAGTAATGTGAGACCATGGTTGGAATGTTGGAATACCGTGGTAACGTTAAAATAAATTAGGGTCTTTTGTTTGCATTTAAAATTCGTAAATTGTAAATTCTCATTCATAAAGGTTTGTAATTATGATCCGTAGCCGATGACTCCTCCATGACGGATGGTAACTTCTAACATGTAGGTTTTCTCACTAGTGACTACTAATCACTCGCGAGACGTTTATGCATCACAAATGTGGGTTGCCACCCTTTACAAATGAGGTGTTCTGTTCGAGTGATATACTCTCTCTATTTCGAAATGTATGACGTCGTTGACTTTTTACACAATTTTTGACTACTGATCTTATTCAAAAATTTTATATAAATATCATTTATCTTGTTGTGACTTGCTTTATCAACAAGTAAAGTATAACCTTAACTTATACTCCCTCCGAGTTGATAATACTTGTCGTTTTCGACAAGGGCACGATCTCCAAAAAGTAGCTTTGACAACTATTTTATATTATAATATATATAGAAATATCAACAAATATATGATTTTGTTGAAGTACTTTTTAAGAATAATCTACACATCTGGTTTTCATATTTTTAAGACAAATATTTTAGAAATTATTTATAATCAAAGATTATAAAGTTTGACTGTACCCTTGTTCAAAACAACTAATATTATCAGCCCGGAGGGAGTATTATTTTTATATATTTATACTACATTTTTTAGTAAGATGAATAGTCAAACGTTGTGCGAAAAATTAACAGCGTTTTACATTTTGAAATGGTGGTAGTAGTACAAATCACCAACGACGAATATCCTGTATACAATTCCAACAGTACCTGGCTTTGTTTTCCCGACGATAAGGAATGTCATGGACCGATCGCCCTGATGGTGTTTTGGTGCTTGGGGTATTCCTGGCAGATTTCTGCCTAGAAGGATGAAAATGCGAAGCTCGGAAAGGTTGAGATGGGGACCAATGGTGTAGTGAATGCCAAGCAAGACATGGGGTTTATTCAGCTCATCAGCTGGATGCCCTGGCGAAGCCAACGGTTTAGCGTAAACTGTGGGAATGAAATAAAGCATCGATCTTAGATTATGTTTTTTAGTCTATACCAAGGCACACGCACTATATATATATATATAGGTGGAGATAATCGTCTAAAAAATCATAATCTTATATCACATACTATCAAGCTTAAAAATTTGTCTTTATGGATATTACAAATTATGTTCATCATGTTCTTTGTAGGTATTTCTAAATTTTTCCGTTGCAACACGCGGGTAACCACATGACATATATATATATATATATGCTTGAAGTTCGCACATATCCATGCTAAGATCCAATGTAGTTAACAAAAGCATTAACACGATAATAATTATGCGTAAAACTGTTCAAAGAACTAAAAATGTTATTGATCTAATTAGTACTAGGCGTAGAAATGTATAAAAGAAAGGTTTGATTATTATTTTGTAATTAATTGGAAATGTTGATCATATTTGATTTGGTGGAATATTGGTGAAGTGCAGTTTTGCCTTTGGATATATCCGGTCAGACCGGCCATGTAATGCCGGTTGGACCAGACATAGGTTGTGCTAGGGTTTTATGCTCTGGATTGGTCTGGTCGGACCGAGGTTTGACGATGAACAAAGTTTTTGATTTTACTGTGAATGGTGTTTTGCTTATAGAGATATGTGATCAGACGAGTCGGTCAATGCCGGTCAGACCGGGCACCGGTTAGACCGACTGACTTGACGGTCTGACCGGGCGGTTCTGATTTGAGCTAATCTTTTGGATTCTCGTGATTACTTCATGTTTATGAATTCGACATGCATGATTACTATGCGTATGTAATACTATTGTGTATTAATATTAAGTCATGTTGGGGAAAGAACTTGTGCTCTGATATGGTTTCTTGTTTATCCAAATGTGGTGTTGCTTGAGGCCTTGAGAGAGTGTTGTCTGTGATGGATCGGGAGTCGACTTGGGAGAAGTTGATGTCCGGACAAAAAGAAGATCACGTGTTATGTATATTCTAAAGAACAATGCACATGGTGGTAAAGATTTCATATAGTATACAAGTGGGATTGTGTACATATGGGATACATAGTTAAATTTGGAAGTAGTCCAAATTTGGAAAGATAGAGTTTCAATTGTAATAACGATACATTTGATACTTGTTTGGGTACGTTTCCTATGGAATTAGGACTACTTATACATGTTGGATTTGAGGCTTTGGTGAGAGGACAGTCTCGACGAAAATAAGCTTTTAGTCTAGATTTCGAGTTTAGTGTACTATTGTTGTAATTTATAAACACACATAGAAAGAATATAATTGATCTACTTTTAAGTTTTTTGATTCGTGTTTTTCTCGGTTTTGTTGATCGGACCAACGGAGGAGCTACGGTTGGACCGGTGGTTTTGGCACGGTCAAACCAGCGTTGTCAGGCTATAGAAAGCAATAAGAGCGATCAGAACGATGAGGAGGTGGTGCTCAGACCAACGGGCAGATGTGAGGGTTTGAGAGTCATCGAGGTTTGAGGGTTTCCTTTTATTCTAAAAAAAATAGTTTTTGATGTTACTGCCAAACATTTTCTTTGGCAGACTTTTCTTGTGTTTCAATCCTATAAAATATACCCACCAACCTGTACCACATTAGAAAGCAAGATACGGCCAATCGTCCATTATTCTATATATGATACCACCTATGATCAATGGAACAATAGAAGCTAGGCCGTATGAAGCAAGAAAGCAAAATGTAAGAAGGCTTAGAATACCATCGTAGACTCTAGTGGAAGAAGGGGACACGACGCGATAGATATGTCTAAAGCTTAATTTTAGTAGTTATAGCGACGGTATGCATGATGTGCTTGTTTGGTTTGTCATCTTACCAGATAGAAAAGCGAACCTTGTCTACTAGCTTGAAGAACACACTTGCGCGGCTACGTGTACAACTAATTAATCTCGTTGTTGCTTTCTTATCGTGTTAATTTATTATGTTTGAATTTTAGCGAGTAACTTAATGGAACTTTACCGAACATACATATGTGCTTTTCACGCAATTAATTCTACACAACTTTTGTTTGTATTTATAACGGAGGTGGGAACAGAACTTGTGAACTTAATTAAATAACCAATGGCCTGCACGTGCCAGTGATGATTTTGTATTTGAACAATCACTCCGTTCTGAACATGACCAATAATTGGTGTACTGTAATACTATCATCGTTTTCTAAATACATGATGCCATTTATTTTTTTACCATTCATCTTTTTTTTTGCAGATATTAGAAATTTTAAGTAATGCTGACGATAAATTTAGTCAAAACAAAAGAAATGATAAGTACATAATTCTCTTTAACAAGATGAATGGTCAAACGTATCTAAAAAGTAACGTCGTATATTAAAAAACAAGTTTTTATCATGTAAACACTACCACTTCAGATCCTCTACTCTGGCCAGCATGGCAGGATATCGGTGTTATTAGGCCACCCGCAATGATTATCTATAGGCTCTCTACAAGAGATTCATGTCAGCATATTTTTCTACTTGGAAGAGATTAAATGAAGAGAGAGAGAGAGCAAAGCTATCTACTAACCTAGAGATAGTCTATAGAGAAAAACGAGGCAATGGATTATAGAGCTATAGATACCCATGTAGACATACCATTGAAGTGGTTTACTATTAATCTAGTATATTGCTGAGATGTACATGTTTTATAGATAGCACCTTACTTTACCATTGCGGGTGCTCTTAGGTCTCCAATCGGCACTGGATTTCCGGTGTTGATGATCCGTCGTCCTCATAAGTGGCAGATATTTGGTCCGGAAATGAAGAGGTTCACAAGCCCTAAAAAACGCGTCGAGACGTTTTAATTCAATCAAGTGATCAGCTGCTTGAAATACAGCAAAGAAAAACCCCAAATACTAACCCCTAAATAACCCTGCATCAACCGTAATGGAACATATATTGATCCGCAATATTAACACACGGATCAAATACTCATCAGTAAAAGAAATCACTAGTTCACATATCAACAACTCATCTTGGGCTCGGAACTCACTGGTTCGCAAATCAATCTCGTGTCACCTGATCCACCTCCTCTAGCATGGCTGTCGTCATCCACAATCGGAGTGGGGCGAAGAGGAGGCCACACGCGCACACACTACTACGAAATACGTTTTTTGTGGCGGCTAAAACAGGTTTTCGCTGGCGGTACTAGGAGCCGCCAGAGAGTAGAGGCCAGTGAAGATGTATAGTTTTCTCTGGCGGAGTCCAGCCGCTAGAGAAGATCTATTTTCGCTAGCGGCTTTCTCAATGGAGCCGTCAGCGAAAATCTCTTCTCTGGCGGTTCGCTAAAGCTAGCCGCAAGCGAAAACTTTCTTCGCTAGCGGCTCGCTAGTACTAACCGCCAGAGAAAACTTGCTTCACTAGCGTCTGACTAAGGACAGCCGCCAGCAAAGATGCGTTCAGTCAGTCGTTTGCTGACACATGGGCCGCCAGAGAAAACTGCCCGCCATCTGTGTGTTGACACGTGGGCCGCCAGGGTAAACTTCTCGCCAGCCATTTATTGACACGTGGCCCGCCAGTGAAAACTTACACTATTTGGCTATATAATTTCAGATTTCAGAAAAATAGCAGAATACAGTACATCTTTTTGTGCTCAAATTCAGAATTCACCCACAGGTAGTATACTAGGTCTGATTTCAGAATTCACCCACAGCTCTCCAAAACATATACTAGGACAGATTTCAGAATATATATAATTTAAATTACATTTGCACTTGATCAGTTTCAGATCAGCATATGTATACAATTTTCAGAACATAACATATAAATTTCAGGACAAGTATATATATTTCTGCATCTACCCATTTATTAACTTATGTGCATATATTTCTGAACAGAACATATCCATTTCAGAGAGTAAATTCAAAAATTGCAGCACAGAATCCTGAATGTACCAATTCCTGAAAATCCAGCAAACAGCTCATCTCCTGGAAAATCCCATCTGCAATGGTTCAGTACTGCAACTGCACTAAATTCAGATTCAGACTTAGATTCATAGCTCGTATTCATATTCAGTCCTACAGCTCTTCACATATATTTAGCCATACATCACATATATACAGCTGGGACATCATCACATCATTTTTCATCTTGCAGATCAGTTTCAGTTACAAAATAAAATGTCCCTATATATATAAAGCTAGCATTCACCTGAATCAGTTCAATCGCAATCAGCAGAAGCAGCAGCATAGTTCATCTCAATTTTAATATATTGTCTGAAACATACATGTGCTGCATTTCAATATCTATTTTCAGATCAGAATAGCAGCAGCAACAAAAATAGCAGGAGGTACCACCATCCAGATTTCAGATTCAAAAGTAAATTCAGATTTCAGATTTCAGATTTCAGACTTCACCACCTTCTTCTCCATCACCTGCAGACCTGGACATTTTCACATATATAAACAGCAAAATCAGCTATGTGCTAACTACTACTATATCCCACTACTGCTAGTCTTAAAAGTCGACTAATGATATTGACGTTGAATTTAAATTGCATGCTTGCTCCAGTTAGAAAGAATATCGTTTTCTGGCAAGCCCAAAAGCCCTTCTTTATCAAAAAACCTCCCAAGCTGGTGACAACATTCATTGTGAATGAAATAGCACAAGTCTCGTTGTATATTCTGAATGGATTTATCATCCAGCTCCCTATCACTCTTGGGGAATTTTAGAAGCTGCATCGAGATAATGGCAACAGAACTTGTTAGCAATTCAAAGTTAGCAATTAATTTAACAAACGTATTGATGGCATCTACTTGCATCTCCATAATTTTTGCAATATTGACCATTGATCCTAAGGAACTCGCAAGTATAATATCCACATAGTACGCTTCCCTTCGGTTGCTTGTGACACTTTTGACATCAATATAAGGTATATTAGTTAATTATAAATGGATATACACGTGCATTTATAAAAAATTAAGTAGTTGTATGTCGTCCAAAATTAATTACCGGCCACTTATTGCGGATGTATATTTGATCTCTGTCGTTTCGCCGTTGTCCGCCTACCTGGTAATACCTTTTATATGCACTGCTTGAAGAAAACAATTAATTTAGATTCATCAAAGCTAACAACATGTTGTCATGAGAATAAAACAATCATCCATATATATATAACTTACAGATCGAAGATTCTGAGGATTTCCTGATATGATTGTATGTCTTTATCAAGAGAATCCAAGACTATAACTTCGTTATACTTTGGATATAGAAGAAAAGTAATCCAGTGGTCGCTGCAAAAAAAAAAAAATCCTTAGTCGAGCCGCGATTAAGTATATACTCGTAGTAGATATTAGATACGAAAACTTACTCAAAGGCGTATGGGGCGTAGATGCATTCTTTGCCCTGCATTGATTCAAGTGCTATAGCTACGTAAGTAGCCACATCGCGAATTTTAGCTTGATGCCTTTCTGTCAGGTATGCATCTCTCTCTTCGGGAGTCATGGCCGCAACATGTGCCGGTACCCTCTTCTCATCTAGCGTGAAGGTGTGGTTCGGCTTACTTATAAGGCAAGGGTCTAGGAAGCCGACAGTCTCACGCATCTGTTCTGCTATGACGTAATTCATCCTTCAAAAAAATGGATGATCGAATTAGTTAGTACTATAATGCATAGGTACTATCATCAATTTAGCTAGTACTCGTGCACTTACAGACACCAAATGGCGACCAAATTGGCATCGAGTCTTTGCCTACGGTAGAGAACATGCATATCCTTAAAACTAACATGTAGTAGACATGGTCCGCTCATGAAAACCTCCTCTGAAACGGCAACTGTAAATGATGAAAGGCCTTTTATTCTACTTGCTTTCATGTACCATTCATGCCACCTTTTTAATTGCCAAGGTCCTTCTTCTAATTCCCATGTGGGGAGGAATGCTTTGCCATTCTCAAATAGTTCTGGCACATCAACAGTAGGAATAAAACTCAAAGTTTTATCCAAGCTTATTTTCAGGCCTTTTGCTTTCCTTTTATCATAAACATCCTTTGCTTTCCCCTTGATATCTCTCTTCCTTCCTGGGAATGCCTTTACCACAAACTTTTTCTTGGGCGCACTTTTTTCTTTGTGCTCTTCTACAGCCTCTTCTTCCCTCTCTTGTACAACCTCCTTTTCCCTTTCTTGTACAACCTCTTCTTCCCTTTCAAGCTCTGCTTTATCAAGCATTGGCTGCTCAGGCTCTAGTTGCTCAGGCATTGGATGTGCAAGCTCTGGTTAATCTGCGTGCTTTTCAGGCTGATTGGATTGCTTTGCAAGCTCTGGTTCATCTGCTTGTTTTTCAGGCTGATCGGCTTGCTTTTCAGGTTGATGCCGAGGTGATGCATCTTCTGGAGGATCCCCCGGTTCTTCGTCCATGTTACGCAAGGCATGACATAGTGACCGCAGTATCCTTGGCGGAGAATCCGTTGATCCTAATTGAATATCCTTTTTGTGCCATAGTATTATCTGGTCAACTGCATCTCCAAGGTACACGATATCCTCGGGTGTTGGAAAGTCTATCTCGTACATCCTGTGATCCTCATTTACCGTCCGCACCTCTACCTTGGCATAGTCATCTGGTATATCTTGGCAATGAAATCTGCGCCCTGGCATTGCCCTTCCAGTTGCAACCTGAATTGTCTTTCCTGTCCTTCTAACCGGAATAAGCAGTCTGCAAGGAGTATCTTCCTTTATATCATCGACTGGATAGCTAGGGACATCGGGCATAGGAAACGCATCTTGCATCCTATCAACGCGTTGCTGAAGTTCCGGGTTTCGGTTAAAAAATCTTATGCATTCTTGCAATGTTGCTGCCCTACAGCTAGCCACTAACTCCTCCTTATATCGATCACGTTTCTTGTAGCTAGCAGCATCTTCTTTGAAGCCATCCTTCCAACTAGCCTTTGAGGAGACTCCTCGAACGCGGCCTCCGTGCTCCGAGGTTCCCAAAGCAACTGACAGTTGGTCCACTTCTCTGTCTGGCACGAATATCCCATCCTTCTGTTGTGTGACGATCTCCTTCATCTTGTTGGCTACCTGCTGGAGCTTTGGATCTTTGAAGACTACATCGCCCTTCGAGTTAAAAGATGGGGTTCTTGCATGCACCCAGTTCCTGGCTCGTTCGTTATGATATTCCATAGGAATTGGTTTGCCTGCCTTTTTTAATTCTTCTTCTTCTTTTCTCCATTTCTTGGCTTTAGGACGGTAACCGGCCGATCCCAAATGATGAGGATAGATGTTTTTTCTTGCCAGTTCTAACATTTTCTGGCTCTTCTCTTTTTCTTCCGCTGATGTCTTCAAGGCCACGAATTCTTCCCACTAGGCCTTTGTTATCTTTCCATAGTCATTAAAAGGTTGGCGATCCTTTTGAACATATTTCGTGTTCAGATCCGTTTTCCAGTTTCGCCATAACTTGCCCATAGTCTTTAGCGCGAAATCCTTCGCTGCTTCTTCGTCTGTCCCTTCTGGAAAAGAAAACTTACTTTTCAGCTCCGTCCAACACGTGTTCTTTTTAGCTGGGTTAACTTTCTTCCAATCTTTAAATGTGATCTCCACGTTATCCCTTACTATTGCCCCACATTGGTTGCTATACTTGGAACATACATCTTCAGGCGATAGGGGTTCCCCTTTCTCACCGATCCGCGTAAGGGCGTGGACTTCTTTTGACAGCACGTTTTTGCCTCGCTCGCCTCTTCTTTTTTTGGGTTTACGAGAAGCTGTTGGGCGCACGGCAGATGCGGCTTCCACAGTTGGTTCCCTTTCTATAGGTGCGGCTTGCGCTTTCCTTTTTGAGCGGCGTGGAGCATTCTTCTGTAATTGTATCTGACGTGTCATCGGTTAAAATCCGCACTCACAATTAGATTTGGATAAACAAAATATGTTACGTACCACCGGCTCAGGGGGAATGTAATCCGAGTCAACCTCGTCGTCCTCACCACCGCCCTTATTCTTTCTTGGAGGAGAAGGATGAGGGTCACTCGGTGAGTGATAAGAGTCACTCCCTGCTTCACCGGAGCTTGATGACGACAATTCTTCCGCGATTACTTGCAAGCCGATAAGTTCAGTTTCATTGGACTTGTCACCCGCGGGTTGTGCTTCATTGTGTTTTTCCATAGCTTTAAAAAAGGTGTATAACTATATTCAGTATTACTAACTCAGATTTAGAACTATATTCAGTATTACTAATTCAGATCAGAGAACCTAAACTCAATTAATGAAGATATCTCAGATTTCAGTTTTCAGTTTTCTCTACAGCATATTTCAGCATTTAAATCACATTTGCACTTGAGTTTCAGATTAAATTCAGAACTTTCAGTTTTTATAATAAGAAGAGCAGTGTTCACTGAAAAAAGAAGAATATGTGTTAGTGTGTTTTGAGCTGCCCTGCAAATTAACGATCAAAGTGTTTGTCTGTTATTGAAGAGGAAAAAAGGGATATGTACTGTTTATCACAAATTCAGAATTTGCTAAATGGGGATATGTACTGTTTGTACTGAAAAATTCAGAATTAACCCAAATATCCCAGGCATTTCATCAAACATTCATCAAATATCATCCCAGGCATTTCATCAACCATTCATCAAACCATGCATATCAAATATCCCAGGCATTCATCATATGCTCACCAGCGACGATGCGGCAGAGGTCGACGGATGAGGAGGCTGCGGCAGTCGTCGGAGGACGCGGCGGTCAGCGGAGTAGGCGGTCGGCTGAGTAGGCGACGGAGGAGGCGGCGGCGGTTGGCGGAGGACACGGTCGGCGGAGGAGGCGGTCGGCGGAGTAGGCGGTGTGGAGGAGGCGGCGGTCAGCGGAGTAGGCGGTGGTCGGCGGAGGAGGCGGCGGCGGTCGGCAGAGTAGGCGGCGGTCAGCGGAGTAGGCGGCGGAGGAGGCGGCGGCGGTCGGCGGAGGACGCGGTCGACGGAGGAGGCGGTCGGCGGAGTAGGCGCTGGAGGAGGTGGCGGCGGTCGGTGGAGGACGAGGTTGGCGGAGGAGGCGGTCGGCGGAGTAGGCGGTGGAGGAGGCAGCGGCGGTTGGCGGAGGAGGCGCTAGGGTTTTTCGCTGGCGCACAAAATTTGGGCAGCCTAGCGGCGCTAGGGTTTTCGCGCCTTCGCCGTACTTAGAAAATTTTGGGGTCGTTTGCGTACTTATAGGCGATGGTTTTTCACTGGCCGGCCACCTAATCTCACCGCCAGCGAAAATGATTTCTGCTAGAAGTGTTCTTATTGGCCTGCCAGCGAAAATTGTTTAATGATTTTAATTCTTTTCTTTTTTTAATGCAGATATATGTAAATAAAATTTACACAACATAAATAATTCAACATCCATAAAAATATTTAATAAATTGTTTGAATCATAATGATAGGAAAAGAATTAATAATTTATTAAATTGTTTGAATAAAAAATATAAAATTAATACTTAAATATTCATCATGTCACATATTAATACTTAAATATTCATCATGTCACATATTAATACTTAAATAATATTCATCATTATCCATCATCATGCATGTCACACTTCATACATAAATATTCATCATCCATCAGTTCACATGAATTAGCCTTTCACATATCTCCCTACACCTTCATTTCTCATGTATGGCTTCGGCGATTCGCCAATTGATTCTTCGACGCGTAGTATCTTGTTTCGAAAATCTGTAAATAGTATCATGTTCTCATATTGATTGTATGCCTCGATATCTTCGACATCATCAACTCCCAAAATACTTTGTTTTCCCGAAATAACTATGTCTTTCTTCAAATTAGATGGGTCTGTCACATAGAAAACTTGAGCGACCCGATCGGCAAGCACCCATGGGTCTTCCTTGTGGCCTACGTTGTCGAAGTCGAAAATTGTCAGCCCAAAGTTGTCCACAGACATGCCGGCTGGGTGTTTCACCCATTGGCACCGAAACAGTGGAATCTACATATTTGGCCCGTAGTTTAGTTCGCAGATTTCTTCTATGAATCCATAGTATGTGCTCTTTTGCCCAGTTGTGTCGATTGCTTCTACTTGAACGCCACTATTTTGGCATGCACTCCTTTTGTCTTTCGCTTTTGTGTAAAACGTGTATCCATTCAGATGATATGCTTGCCATGAGGTGTACACACTTGATGGCCCGTCAACTAGCATTTTAATTATTCTTTCTTCCATGGTATGGCCATCTGGTAGATCGAGGTCCTTGAACCATTCAGTAAAGTGATGCTTGTGTTTCTTCATGATCCATCTATTAGATCGACCCACATTTGTTGCTTGTAATTCCTGCAGGTGTTGCTTATGTACGGCTCCACTAATGCGAGTTGCTGCAGTACAGTGAAATGAGCATCTTTCACTTTTTTGTAGTCATTGTCGTGGATTCTTTTCTTCCCTTTTGTTCCTTTCCTAGATAATCTACCTTCATGTCGAGGTACCGGTAAACCAATTGCTTTCCCATATTTTAGGTAATCAATGCAACACTCAACGACCTCCTCGGTTGTG